GCCCCCCCCCCCCCCACTCAATTCTAAGACAACTGGCCTTTTTCCTACATGTTAATGGGGGGAAAACGCCTTATCTTAGAATTTGAGTAAATATAGAAATTGAGTCTGCAAGTATTACTCTAAATTTAACACCAGTATCTTAGTGGAATATGTCAGGCTGAGTGATTTAGACTTGGGCCAATGTTTGCTCCTTTCTGCACACTATAAAAGTTCAAGCTTTTCTGGCAAAACTAATTACACCTACATTCACAACTTCCCTGTAGTGACAGAATCCCTTTTTCTGCCAGCAGGACAAAACCAACTTAGAGTGACAAAGCTTTTGCCACCACCCTCCAGCTAACAGAAGCTGCATGTAAATATCCCCAGGCTTTATGCTACCTGCTAATGTCTCCTATGATGCACTGTGCACCCCACTGATACAGCATCTGCAGTGGACTGAGCATGAGAGGTGTGTGTGTGTGTGTGTGTGTGTGTGTGTGTGTGTAGGAGCTCTGGTGCACACCAGGGCACATAAAATGAAGGAAAGGGGGTTTGATGTGGGAGGCCTGTAGTAATAGGTCTGTTCTCTATTCCTTCCTCCCTCCCCTGTCTTGATGAGGTTCTGATAAAAATGAATGAGGCGGATTCTGAAAATACCTTCTGTAGTATGCTAGGAAGCTTGCATACCTTTCATTTAACTTTTACATGTGCCTAGAACAGTGGATTTCAACCTGGGATCCGCAGACCCACACTTAGAATTTGGCGAGGTCCGCACCTCCATTCAGGATTTTTTTAGGAATCCGCAAAATGAAAAAAGGTTGAAAACTACTGGCATGGCTGAGAGGCATGCTTTGACTAATCAGCACCAGAATATTAACTTTGGCTGAATGGATGGAAGCAATACATCTTGTGCCATTTCTGTGGAAGGGGGGGCAGCTGTGCTCTGGTCACTTGCTGCCATTGCTTATGAAACAAAGTTAACTTCAGGTTTCTGTCACTCCTATGGGATATTGAGGCATGCATGCCTGTTAATCAGTTCAAAGCTAATCCTGCAGAACTTCAGAGACTCAGTGTAGCATTGGGATGCTTTGATATATTCCCCCCCCCGCCCCCCCCTTACCCCCCCCCCCCCCCCCCCCCGAGGAATTAATGTTGAGAATACTCTATTGGTTATAGCTCCTTTGCAAGCTCTTAACATTCTAATTATTGTTGACTAGCATGAACGGTTCTTCAGCTTGAAGTAGCTATAATCCCTCCCCTCACCAAAAAATGTTCTCTTCATGCAACAGTGCTGCTTGTTGCTATGGTTGAAGGAGTTTAAAGATAATTATTTTGATAATTATTTTGAGTTTAAAGATGGCCATTTTGGTAAGATGCTCTAAACAGTATCTAAATGATGATAATTCTTTTAAAGCTTATTAAAACAATCCCAGAAGCATTAGAGAATCAATAAAGCTCTGAGCCAGTGGCACTAAGTGAATATGCACTATATGAGATATAGTTCAAGGCAGTTGGGCTGCAAAGAGAGAAGAGCAGTGAGCACACAACAGATTTCTTTTGCAGTTAAATTTTGCTTCACTGGTCCTGTCTTGGCATCTGAGTCAGCTTGTAGTCAGCTCACAAATTTCGAGATGAACCGTTTCTAGAGTTTGTGAATCATTGCTTCTGCCCTCCATCTGTGTGCAGGGGCAGAACACTTCTCTGAAATGACCTTCTATCTTTGAATGTAGGTACCTTTTTTGAACATCATTTAATTTTGGTGGTGGTTGTCTGTAGTAATGGAGCTCAAACATCCTTTGAGTGAAGATTTTGATACTCTATGTTCATTGTATAGGATGCCCACTCACAAGGAGAAGTGGTTGCCTGCTTGGAAAAAGGCCTGGTAAAAGAGGCAGAAGAGACGGATGGTAGAGTTCAGGTTTCTGATCGTTGTAAGAAAGCAATTCTACGGGTGGCTGAACTCTCTTCTGATGACTTCCACTTGGACAGACACCTATACTTTGCATGCCGAGATGATCGAGAACGCTTCTGTGAAAATGTGAGTTGCTTCAAATATCAGTTCTCTCCAGCACCCCCCCCCCCCCCCCCA